CGTTCTACTTTCGGCAGATTTTATGAGCTTGAAAACTTTCCTGACAGAGAACAGTTTCGTTGCGTTCGTTTACTCCTGTCGCTTTTACCTACCCGCCCCCCACTCCCACTCCCAGACCAGATAAACGGCTTATATTGCTACTGTAATGTTATCTCAGTCTGTAAAACTGAATGGAGAAATTATTCAAATAGCAGAGGAGCCTTGAAATACGATTTAGATAACGTAGGGTAGACCACATTTCCTGACCACCTGAAGAAACATTTATAAACTGTTACTTAAGAAAACAGACTATTTTCATGCTATTAGTCTTATTTTTATTCAAATAAAGTTTCGTTTCTGAGCTGTAGGTTGTGTAAGAGTCAGACAAAATACAACTGGACATAAAAAGACCAAAAGAGTCAAGCGAACACCGGTGACTGCTATTAACTGAAGACTGGCATGGGTTCATTTGACCTCCAGTTGAGTATACCTACTCGAATCCTCAGTTAACAACAGTCAGCGGAGTTCGCTTGACTCATTAATTGAGTGCGCTATGGAGTATGGGATCGTTTGGGAAGACAACATAGCTTTAGGCTGAATGCCGAAGCCAGAAATTGTCCTGTACATATTTGTAACCTCCCTAAGCCTCCCAAACGACCCCGGACGCGTTCGTTAGATCGATGTTTCGAAGCAGTACATATGTCGTATTTCATGTAAGTAATCACATTATCTAAGGTTCGGATAACACTCGGAAAGTTTCGTGATCGTTTCCCGATCGGAGCCGATCATATATGTCTATTTACAAATCATCGTGGTTAACTTGGCCTGGGGACGCCAAACAATCAAACCTATATACAAGTAGTCAAAAAAAAAAAAGAAAAAGAAAATAATAACCACGAGATTACTCAAGTCTAAAGTTTAAAATATTTGTTTTACTGCCGTTCTGAACCCGGCAAATACCCAGATTGAGAGCTTTGCTCGGTCTCCTCGACCATGGGTTGAAAATTTGATGTCTCATCGGGTTGCACACTTGGTAGTGGTTGCTTCACCAGGGTATGTAGGTTCGAGGAGCTAATACTCGGTAGAGCTTGCTTCACAGCCGGTTGAAGGTTCGTCAACTGTCGGTCGAACGGCGCTCGGATTTTTGGGCGTGGTCGTTTCACAGTCGGTCGAACGCTCGGCAGTCCTTTCTTTGTGAAGTTTGCCGCTGGCGGATGAGGCTTGAGCAATGCTGCCCCCTCTTTTGTTGACTGAATTCCGGGCAAGGCTGACTTTACGGTCAGAAGATCGCGCGGTTGTCGTCCTTTCCCTACCGGCTGGTCATTTGCTCGGCATTGTTTCGCCATACGTTCCAGACGTTGCAGCGCTTCGAACTCTCGCCGCTTAAGGTTCAGAAACGCATACGTCCCTGGCTTCGGTTGTTCGTTTGGCGGTGTTTCTTTCTTTCGGGAAGAGACACTAGGCACTTCTTCTGAATCTGTAACCGTTAGATTAGCCCTGGTTGGCCTCGCCGGTGCAGGCCTAGGAGGATTGTGATCCAGGGTATGCTGTGGGTTCAACACTGTTTCACTCTTCGTCAGGGTTTCCGGTAATGTTCCTGGAACACTTTTCAGTGGTTTGCCCTCCGTGGCTTGAGGACTAACCTTTGATGGCCTCGTTGCAGGAGGTCTTGGAAAATTATGCTCCGGTGTATATTGTGGGCTCAATAGCGACTCAACTTTCGTCTGGCTTTTTGTCCCTTGAACGCTCCTCAATGTTTCTCTCGTGGTTTGAGAACTTAACCTCATTCGCCTCGCCACCGGAGGCTTTGGAATCTTATGTTCCGGTGTTTGTTGCGGGCTGAACAGCCCTTCTGCCTTCGTCTGGGTTTGTCTCGCTGCTCCTTGAACGTTCCCCAGTGGTTCTACTTTTGTAGCCTGAGAACTTAACTTCATTCGCCTGGCTGCCGGAGGCTTTGGATTTGTGTGCTCCAAGTTTAGCGGTGGAACTAACCGCTTTGTTTCTGCCTTCGTCGGGGTTTGTCTCGCTGCTCTTTGAACGTTCCCCTGTGGTTTTACATCTGTAGTCTGAGGACTTGACTTCATTCGCCTCGCTGCCGGACGACTTGGACTTATGTGCTCCAAGTTAAGCGATGGGACTAACCGCTTTGCTTTTTCCTTCGTCTGGATTTGTCTCTCTGCTCCTTGAACGTTCCCCAGTGGTTCTACATTTGTAGTCTGAGGACTTAGCTCCATTCGCCTCGCTGCCGGAGGCTTTGGACTAATGTTTTCCAAGTTATGCGATGGAACTAACCGCTTTGCTTTTTCCTTCGTCTGGTTTTGTCTCTCTGCTCCTTGAACGTTCCCCAGTGGTTCTACATTTGTAGTCTGAGGACTTAACTTCATTCGCCGCGCTACTGGAAGCTTTGGACTTATGTGGTCCAAGTTAAGCGGTGGGACTAACCGCTTCGCTTTTGTATTCTTCTGAGTTTGTCTCGCGGCTCCTTGAACGTTTCCCAGTGGTTCTGGAGCCTGAGGACTTAACTTTAATCGCCTCGCTGGCGGAGACTTTGGACATAGTTGGTCCAAGTTAAGTGGCGGGACTGACTCTGGACGACTCTTCTTGGTTCGCCTCGTTATTGGAGGACTTGGAAGAGCTTGTTCCAAAGTAGGCTGCGGGCTCAGCGAGGACTCTGTTGCTAGCGGCTTCACCTCAGCCATAGCTTTTTTCACTGGCTGTTCAGGACCTCTCTCAGCTTGAACAATCGACAGGGTGCCACTTTGTCTCGGCTGATTCTCCTTAGAACTCGTCGCTGTCGGAGCTGTCTGAAGAGGATGCTCCACTGTTGTTCCAAAGTTCTCCGGAGGTTTATCCTTTATCGGTTTAAGACTCGGCATCACTTTTTCCTCTGCTGATTGCAACATTGTCTGGGTCCCTTTCGAAAGTTTCCGAGGTCTTTTTGAGCCTTTTTTTGAAGCCTTCTTCTTCGGCTTCTGCAATTCCTCCATCCCGCATGGGAGCGTTTCCTTCTCTGCTGATTGAAGGCTTGTTTGCGCTCGTTCCGCAACCGACGGAGCACTGGATGAAGAGCTGTCTTTTTCTTTCGCCTCAGGACCTTGAGACGCACCGTTTATCATGGAGTGAACACCTTCCTTGGTTGCGTCCTCTTCTGAGGGTATTGGCGACGTCTGTTCTATGATTGTTGGAAGGATCGGAAGTAGGCGTCTCCGACGCGACCGAACGTTTGGCTGCACTATAACTACGGTCGGTTCAATACTCGGCAGAGTGAGATCCTCTAGTGGAGGAATGTCAGGCAGTATTCGTCTCACTGCCGATTTAACCGTTGGTCGCCCTTTCAGCTCGGGCTTTGGAGCACTCGGTTTAGCCTTCTCTTCAATCGTTGGAAGAATCGACAGCATGTGTGTCATTGAAGTAGCAGCGTTTGCTTGGATGCTGGGTAGACTTAATTCCCCGATGGTTGGAATACTCGGTAGAGTTCGCTTCACTGCAGAGCTAGGCCTGGGTGGCGCTTTTCTCTCCGACGACTGAATTTTTGGTAGATTTAGCTTCTCTGCCGGCTGCAGGCTTGGAAGTGCTTGCTGAACGCTCGGCAGCGCTTGAATCACTGTTGCTTGAATGCTTGGCAAGGTCACCTTCTCAGGCCACAAAGATTTCTTCTTCGATTCTGCCTCAATCTTGTCAGTTTTCTCGTCACCGACATCATTTGAACGGAGATTCTCTCCGTTTTGATACATTTTTACCGTTTTCTCGACTTTTTGTTCACGATAGGTAACGCACAATGAGCTTTTTTCACACAGCAAAAACGCAATGAAATCTCAATGTGAGAACATCGAACAACTGAAGTTCCTTTATTGCGTAAGCATTTCATAATAATGACGAATGCGCGCGCAATGAAAATTTCTCTAATTCCAATTGGAATTCATGAGTTTGGAAAGATTTCAGCAGTTACCGAATTTCCCAAGTTCTGGATAATTTTTAGAAGAATTACAACCTGTCCGAGAGCAACAATCTCCCAATTTGTCCACAAAAAGTACAGGCAATAGTGAACCATTCTGTTTCCAAACTTCGTTTTCATACTGACGAGTTTCTCAAACGTAGTTTTGTCGATTATAGCGCGCACGCAAATCTGCTTTCAATTAATTTTTCTCTTATTCAGTTTTCCGAGGGAATCAGTTTAAAAGGTGGTCAAACAGATCCTTAAGAAGACACAGGTTAGAAAAACAAGAAATTGAATATCTTTAATGGCTGGTTTGCGCCCGCTGGTATCTGCCTCGTCTCCAGGCTCCCCACTGGTTGGAGCGCGGTGCGCGTGGAATTGCGGGAATGTTGCGCTTTCATCCAGAATGCTCCGCGTTTCGTTGCCTAACAATCAAGTCCAAAGCTCCCAAGTTCCCATTCCTTAACAAAGGGGGGACCAGAAAACGCTTGCATTGCGTAGTAGAAACAACAAGACTTTTGGTAACTTGTCGGGGGCTGTGAAACTATAAACATCTTGCGTTGATCGCTTCCGAGCAAAGTTGATCAAGTTGAGGAAAGGAAAACGCCAATCACCGCTTGTGCACGTAGAAAAAAGGCTTGTGTTTCCTTGCGACTTCATTTGGCTTAAGTTATTTCACACGAAGGGGATCGCATCACCTCGGTGTTATTAAGTGAGGCCCTGCGTGGGCAATATAGTAGTTACAGTTGACTTATTTTCAGTTTTGAGAGAGAAAAAGAGCCTATTTTTTTCCTCCATGTAAAATCTTCCTTGATGCTTCATTATTATTTTTTTTTTCTTATTTCTTTTCGCGTAAACTTTTAACCATCGCATGCGTCACTGTAAGAATATCAAACAAACAATACAATGTTAATTTTACTGACGCGCGCATCTCACGAAATCTACACGTACGACCCCACCTCAAAATTTCAGGAATTGGAAACTGACTCTCATTAAACTTTCTTGCAAAATAAAATATATATCCGCAGGACAGATGCTTCTCAAACTAAGGAAATATGAAATTCGCCTTTTTCAAAAATAGTCCAAATTCTGTCATGCAGACGGATTGACACCCGATATCAGGAGATTCTCTTAAAAAAATGACGGATTGTCCTCGACCAATTACACCGCGTAAATAGCACTTTAAGCAGGTACCGTTAGAAAAATGCACCAATATTGACACACAGCTACCCGGGTTATGCCTGTGGCTTTTCCTTGTGACAGAACGTAAATTGTTGACCTGCATTTAAAGTCCTCAGCTCTTCAGCAGCCTTTCTGGTAAAATTAGGAACGGAAGAGTTGTGGTTGATTGAAAACAACATTCAGAGCTGGTCTCAAGCTTCTATTTTGCGCGTCAAATTGGAGCAGATGTTACATTCGAAATAAACCGTCACTCTTTTGTGAAATTTTACATTTTAATTTGAATTTGTCGTAAGATCTCGTGACATATTACGCACACAAGATATGAAGCGCAGCGAAGCTTAAACAATTTATGTATAAATAGCGAGGAAGCATAAAGAACAAGAAAGGTCACACACCATTACACTGTTTAAGAAAAAATATTTTTGGGGCCTGGCTACTTAGAAAGCGATTCATCAGTGGAAACGACACTTGGAAACAAACCGAGAACCTCTGTTCGCTAAAAGGTGAAAGCTAAAAGATCCTTCCAGACAACTACAAAACATTATCATAACGGTATGATGAAGTTATCACTTAATGACTTGAAATTAACCCATAGCATAGCAACACAACCATCCGACACAGCTATGCGCTGCAACTCTGCAAGAGCTTGAAGTTTCAAAGACTGAATACGCTGTATTAAAGCCTTGCACAAGAAGGTTTTTTTTTTTCACCGAACAAACTATATCTTATAAACAGGATTTGGCCACTGTTAAACTACTTTATCCGGAAAGCTCTCTATTTCTCAGTCAAGAATAATTGACAAACGTGCTGTCCTCGACTGAATCCGAGCTGTTTGAAGTAATCATAAAGAAGAAAGTTAAATCACAGTTTATTTCACGTTATTAGCCTTCGAGCACACTCTTCGTGGGGAAAGTTATAATTACAAACTACCGCAGAATGACGAATGTTCACTGCAAACAGCATCGTGTTAATTAAAAGAACGTCCAGAGAATTGAAAATTATTTCAGACTTAATTACTGTAGCAGCTGATAACCATATATTTGACTGATGTACCGATTCGAAATCTCTGAAAAGAAATCCAGCATGTTCGGTGAATTTTGTAGCAATCTCGTAACGCGGAACAACTTCCACGCGAGCGTAAAACTCACATGACAGCGAACGGTGACGATAGGTGAAATGAAATGAAAACTTTCGTCAAAGTGTTCGGGTTTACATGATATTGATTGCTTTTTGCCAAATATCGAATAATGTTATTATAACACATTCATTCGCTGCACAAATATAACAGCAATGCTATAAAAAGTTAGCAAACGGCTTGCATATTGGAATACAAAAATTGGTATCTTTAGATTCAACATACTATGTTCTAGTTAAAATATATCAGTAATTGTCTCTCACGGTCTGGAATTTCACCTTGTAAGCTAAAACAGTAATCGAATATCTGAAAGAACAGGCACATAGAGATGTTAAATTCAGACCTTCACTTTATTTGTTTTATGATAGAAGTGTTTACTTGTTCCAGATGAATGACCGGAGTGACCACTAACAATTCTGTTTCGGTTCTCCGTGTCGAATAGCAATTGTTGTTTGACTATCGTGAGGCTCTGAGAAAATGAAACTTCAAAATTAAAGGAGGAGGCTTACAAAGTAGATAATGGCACATTTGAGCACCGCTTTAATTAAAACTTATTTTCTAAACTGCGTACCGTAAATAGCTTATTTATGCTCTAAACTCTCACTCATAAAACACACCAATATGATACAATAACAATGAATTTATTGTAAAGGAGGAATAGGTACAGCAGTGCCCGTTGCGTAACCAAAATACCAACGAAGAGAACGCAACGAGCATAAACACATATCTTTGTACGTAGTGTTTATGCTGTTTATTGCAGAGCAAAGGGATTTAAGGCGAATAGGCCAGGTTTAGCTAACGATGCAGCGACGATGAAACACTCTTGTGAGGCATTCATGAATGAAAAGCGGAAGAATATTCCAGTGGGTTTCAATTTAGCTAAATACTGCTTCAGTGCGGCAGCAAAAACCCGCTTGTCTTGCAAAACACTCTGTCATGAACCATACTGCAGTTGCACACGAACGAACTTTGAGCAACAAGACCTTTCTTTATTTTTGAAGTTAAATTTAAATTGTGACAATTTGAAAATACCTAGAATGTGTACCACTTAATTTTGCGTTAATTTCTTCTTGTTTCACAGGTGAGAGTAAAACGCACAAAGTGAAGTAAAACAGTGTCTTCACAGCTTGTTACATTAAAAGTATATTGCACCAGAGTTTTTTAAATTAAACGTCCGAGAGTATGGAGGACATTAAACAAAGGTAACTATAGATTCACAGTAGTCACTGTATAAATTACACCACCTTGAAATAATGTTATTTTTTCACTATTGTTTTGCTGAACATATATGAACTAATTTGTGCAACACTTGTGCTTAGTTTCTCTAGTGTGAGAATCTCTAGTAAACGAACGAAAGGTGTAGTTGTGTGTGTATTTGTAAACAAATAGTTTTGAGTCGATTTTTGCCGATATAGGGATGAATCCCTTCGATCTGTCAGCAGCGAAGGCTAAAACAAGCCACTGACCAAACGGCCGACCGCCTACTTACTGCCGGACAGACTCGCTGCAGGGTGACTGACTAACCGACTTTCCTACGACGATCTTCCGATGAATGTCGAAGGTCGTCCGAAGGATCACGAAAACTCTATTTGAGAACTGGAATTTTCGGGCAATTTTCAGACGTAATTGTAGCCCAATTTGTACCTTCAGGATGAATCCGTTAAGACAAATTACCTCCGATTAACCTGCATAAATCGTCTAAGAACGCTAAGAAGATATTTTATTTCTACGAATGGATAAATCGTCTACATTATAATGGAGCTATTGTTGACGAAACTCCACCATGGAGCAAGAGTTATTTGCAAAAACGTATCGATAATCTTCACGGGCATTTAGAGGTTATTTGCCATTACTCCGCGCAACGACTGCCAGCACAAGAAGGTACTGCATATCAAATGTCACGGAATGACGGAACACCAAGTATCGGTATCTATGACAACCGACAGCTAGCCTATTCTACCCTTTAGCGTATTGCGTGCAATGTTCAAAAAATAGCTTCTGTTTTCCATTCAAGTTGAAAGTTATTTGACTTGAGACCGGAAGTAAATGAATAAGCCCTCTGCTGAGCTTTATCCTGACTAACAATTTAAAATATTTTGTGCGTAAAAAAATAACACATATCTATATCATTGTCGCTAGCTATTTCAGAAAAGTCACGACGCAACAAAATTCTACACGCGTGCACTTATCATCCGGCTGTGGCGAAATTAAATCGCCTTTTTTAATTCTCTTGCCATATACAGTCGACAGGTACCACCAGGATTACGGAATTAAACCAAAGGATAAATGATTTACAAGGCTTAACAGCGCCGACCATAATGTTTATATTTCCCTTTATCTAAATGGAAAAAGGGGATTGGTGTTTTCAAGAACTATTTAATATGCAACGAAAACATCCCACTCATTAGGCGCAGGTGCTTCGAGACGGTCAGGTTTGTTTGAATTCCAAGTTCTCGACTTGAAAATTGCAATTGACTTCTTACAAACAAGGCTGGTGCTTCGGCTACTGTTCCCTTTCCATCGTGGTAAGTATAAGCTCTTGTGATCTGTTGTCAACGGCCGATCGTTTTGCACTCCATAAGCTGCAATTCAGAATAACTTAAATGTCTTCTCTAGATAACATAGAGTTTCATGTTTCCATACTGGATCGAACCCGGGGTTATGTTTGAATGTTTTTGGTCAATTTCATTCAGCATACTACCGCATATAATATGCGTGAAACGATAAGACGTGACGGCTTTATAAAGCGCTTTTTCGCCAACTTGAATTCCTTCGATATTTCAAAACCGCGGCAAGAAACCATGGCAGTACATCTCGTGATTAAGATCAGCCATCGCTTAAATCTTTTGCGTTTTAGATTAACTGGAATACATGCAAACCAATGTTGTAGTACGCAAGCTTCGAAAACCCGTGCAAGGCTGCCGTGTTACATCTGTATTAGTGGTTAATTGTTACCTTCGGGATTGGAATACGATCTGGCATCTTAATGGTAAAATATTAAACAAAATTAAACAGGAACAGACCTGACAGGGCTGTGTTGAAATAAAATTCAAAATAAGTTTTTTCTGCATCCATCATGAGCAGAATTTATTCACTCCCGTGTGAATAGTCTCGCTTATCTAAAAGCAGAAGGGTCCAAGTTTAGTAAGTATATACCAAAGTACGTGGCAATGAAACTGTACCGAACTAAAGTACCTTTCAAAATGCTCCAAAATTATACAACGAAAAAACTTTCATCCCTTTGTTTCAAATAACAAAACTTAAATTTCGTACAGCTCAAAGAGCTGTACAACAACATCGCAAGTATACTGTACGTACGAAATATAAACAACATTTATCTGATTGATACCACTGAGCATCTTATTCAAAACAAAACGCACGAATTGGAAAGTATCTTGATTCATGTTGTTGTTCTCATCAATGAAAATAAGGTTAAGTAACTTTACAGCTGTAACCAGCGGCAACTGAACCGAAAACCAACAAGACCTCTGTTTTTATTAAAACTGACTTTTTCCGTCGAATTCAATATGACAATTCATGGATTTGAGGTCTTATGGGCATAAAAGCTAAGTAAATTGAAGTCTGTAAGTCGGAAAAAGAAAATATCCAAGCGGCTTTATTTCTATAATTGTGAAGGTATACAGAAATTAAAATTCCACCTGCTATGAGGGTCATTGAGAAACACTGTTCGTTTAATAGGCTATCTCTAACAATAAACCTTTAACGGCAGATTATTGAAGTACCAATTCGAAACAAAAAAAAATAGACAGCTGTCGTGACAATTTATATATTGGCTCTCTTTATACCGATCGTTTGAATAACATAACTTGACTAAAGTAAATATATACGAAAAGCAACAGCAAGCTACTTTGTAAGAGAATAATTCGCCATTTCCACAATTGCCATAATACACCTTGTTTGCCCTCCAAAATTCTGCATAATCTTTTTTTACCATTTCTCCCGAGTATTACAGTCGTCCCAAGAGAAACTGAAGACAATGCTTATGC